CTTCTTTGTCCTCATCGGGGTGGAAGGAGAAGTCTTTGATGGGGACAGCATGGCAGGGCTCCACTGAGAAGAGCAGCACCTACAACTGGGAGCTTGTGGAGGGTAAGGGCTGCTGTTGGGGTGGCCAGCAGGGCTGGGGCACAGCCCCGGGCAGCTCTGTGCTCCCTGCACTCTTCCAGCCACAGCTGGAGGGGCTTGGGGGACAGATTGTGTGGCCCCATCCCCCTGGCAACGTCATCATGGAGTCATGGAATGATTTGGGTTGGAACAGACCCTAAAACCCATCCAATCCCCACCCTGCCATGGGCTGGGTGCCCCCCACCAGCTCAGGCTGCCCAGGGTCCCATCTGTGACCTTGGGCACCTCCAGGGATGTGGCACCCATGGCTTCAGTAGGCACCCTGAGCCAGGGCCTCACTGCCCTCTGAGTGAAGATTTTCCCACTAACATCTAATCTATATCTCCCTTTTAAATGTATTTTGAACCTTTCCTATTGTCCTATCATACTCAGTGATGGATACTCCTTTAATTAATGGAAATTCACAATGAGGTCTCAACTTCCAAGTTGGAAGGGGCTGATAACAATCATCAACTCCCTCAAGTTCCTTATCCCAAGGAGATTAATTCTCTTTTTATTTCCTCCTTTTCTGACTTTCGGTTCTTGGGACATTAATGGCTTATGAGGTTACATAAGCTTGCTTAGCAGTCTCTATTACCTTACCAAGAACATTCTGTAGTCATAGAATCATAGAATCGTAGAATTGTAGAATCATAGAAGCATGGAATAATAGAATAATAGAATAATAGAAACATAGAAACATAGAGTAATGGAAACATAGACTCATAGAATCATAGAACCATAGAACCATAGAATGTGTTGGGTTTCAAGACCATGCATTTCCAACCTTCCTGCCCAGGGCAGGATTTGCCAACCTCTGCCATGTAGATTCATCCAGGACCTCCTATCCTGGAGCATGTTTAATGGCTTTGCTTGGACTTTTGGTTTTATACCTGATCCAAAACATCACCAGATTAAGCCCCTCATTAAGCAAGACGCATACATCCTTCACTCTAACCTCATACACAGCTCCTGCAAAGCCAAAAACTCATGTTTAACATGGATGTGTCAGGGCTCAGGGCTATAATCCCAAGTGCCATTTCCAGGAGGCCTTCTTCTGAAGGGAGTTTTTCAGCTCCTGCCACTTCGCCCCCCTCCAGCAATTTTTGACAATAAGCTTTGCTTTTCATTTTTTTTCATCAAGCCAAATCAAGCAGCTTCTAAACTAATGGCCAGCTTCTAAACTAACTGGCAGCACTCTTACAGGTGGAAGTGAGATAAAATGTCTTTTCCAAAGGAAAAAAATGAGATTCACATGCTCAGATTGCACTGTAACGCAGTGGGTGAGATTGTCACAGCAAGATTGAGTGCTGCATCCCTCAAGTTTGTTGGTCTCTTCAATCCACTCATCCGTCATTGTCTGAAAATAAAGCAAAAACCAGCAGGTTGTAAAGGAAGTAGGAAAAAGTAGGGATTTGTTATCAAAGAAAAGCTTTCTAGGAAGGTTGGAATGGATTGACTTCATCGCAGGTTGGTGAGAAAAAGTTGGGGAATAAAAGCATGTTTTCCTTGAAAACGATAGTTATTCCATGTTCCCATTGGGAATCTCCTTCCACGCCCTCCATGGAAGCTGTCTCAAGATTGGAAGCTGGCTTAAAGATCTCTTTCACTGAAGGAGAACATTGTCTGTGCACACAGTGTGGCCAGAATAGTTCACCTGCATGCCAAAATTGCGATGAAGTCCGCTTGACGTAGGGTTTATCAGTACTGCAACAGTCAACAGGTTAACAAAGTCAATTAACAGAACCACTGACGGAACTGACAGTGACTGTGAAGTGTAAATGATGGCAATTAACTTGCAAATTAGACAACTCCGCTTGGTTTTTAATTCTGTTTGACTCCAGCACACACGTTTGCACATTTTCAGCCTTTTTCATTCTTCGTGTAGAACAGCACCGTTGTAGAATGGTACAGATCCCTGGACTCCATCTCTTACGTTAGCAAATATTGCTGGAGAGTGATGTTTCCAAAGGCAGAGCTAGAGGAGCTCTTCTAACCCCACATCTGTGGCTATAAATCACGTTCTTTAATAGGCATTCAGTGCAAAGCTTAAGCTTTTCCCACTTCTTCAAATACCGCGCAAAAGTTGAGCATCTAGCTCAGCACTTTCATCTGTCAGAGAAATATGTTTGCTCACTTGAGTGGTTTTGCAATGAGCTAATGCCCCACAGCAGTATAAAAAGGAGTATTTTAACTCAATCTAAGGCAGAGGTAGGAATTACAGTTAGCCACAAGGCCATTGCTTCCTTTCCCAAAGGCTGCAGCACGCCAAAACATGAGATAAGGCTACTAAATAATCTTGGTAGTGACCTACAGTTGGACTCTCTTTGCAAGGACACCATCCCTTGTATCTCAAATTGAGTGCCATTGGGCAAGAAGTGTACCAACATAGGAATATACAACAGAGAAAGCTTCCAACTACACTCAGAATCATAGAACCGTTATGGTTGAAAAAGACCTTAGAGATCCCCAAGTCCAACCCCAACCCATCCCACCGTGCCTACTGACCACATCCCTCAGTGCCACACCTCCATGGCTCTTGAACACCTCCAGGGATGGTGACCTCACCACTCCCTGGGCAGCTGTGCCAATGTATTATCACTCCCTGAGAACAAATTGTTCCCAATATCCAACTTCTTTCCCTAATTTTGAGCTTATTTCACGCCAGCTTGCATAAGATATCTTTCCAATAACTCTCCTAGGCTTGCACTGTTATGCAGACAGAGGCTTTTCAACATTTACCTTGGGTAATAAAGGTGATGCTGTCATCTTCCAAACTATGCAGACAGATGACATTGGCTTTTCTGTGGTTAAAAATGCAAACGATGCTTTCCTGGAGCATCAGTAAATTACACAGCGCCCAACATAATGCATACAGCTGAGACTGCTCCAACGTGACCAAAGCTAAAAGAAATCACCACCCTCCCCAGGTTCAACTTGCAAATACTTAGTTAAAATAATCCACCCAAGCCTTATTAATTAGCAAAGCAATTACTTTAAGCCCAAAAGGGATGATTACTCCTCTCATGCTCAGCCCCCATCCCTGTTATTTTCCTCCTTTTCATGTAGAATGCTGATGTGGATGAGGGAAGTGTTAGACTTAAGCTGTCAGAGCTGATGGAAATCAAATGTGAAATGGAAACCTCATCCCTGGTTTTCCCTAGAAAATGTATAGAATGAGGCCAAACCCCCAGCCAGCACAGGCTGGAAATCTGCAGGGACTTTTTATATCATCATTAATAAATTAACACAGGATTTGCTGATTTGGAGTCTTATCTGTGTGCAAGTAACTGATATTATTTCCTAAGCAAAGTCACTGTTTCAAGAAAATCCCTTGATTTCATGAACAGTTTTATTGTCCCAATTGTGGTATTCTTCTTTTCACACCTCTGGGCTAAAAACTGGGGGAAAACCCAACCGACCAAGCAAACCAAAACCCCCCAAACCAACAAAACAAGACCAAATTTCATCCCAGAAATCAAGTTTCGACCTTTCAAAGTGAAGGTGGTAATTTCAGAAGCAACGAGCACACGTACTGCAATGAACAAGAAGCCAGGAGGTGAATAAAACTGATACAACAGGTCCCAAATCACCACGTTTAAACTTCCTGATCTCGACAATTACTCTCCTCATTGGGGACAATCAAGTCCAGAAGTCAAACCCAACTCTGGGCTCACGGTGTTTGAAAGTTCAGCTGGAGGTATCAACATTTATCGGGCACCCAGACGCAGGATCACCCCGTTGGGTGAAAGCTTTGGAAAGATTCCCCCGCCCATTAATGATGGGATGGAGTTTGTTGTCTCTGTTTTTCAATCCCAAGAGGTGTTTTGGGAAATGGCAGACCAGGAGGAGCAGCTGCGAGGGATGGTGGAGGATGGAAGAGCATGGCTTGTGCACGGATGGTCATGGAACTCTAGAAAACATGAGTTCCCTCTTCATTTTTTTTTGTTTTTTAATTATTTTTTAATGTGTTCACCATGCGTGCTAAGTACAACATTGGTACAACGTACGCCAGTGTAGCATCAATATTTCACAGTCCCCAGTGATAGAGGTGAATGAAGACGCCTTCCAATAGGGAAGGTCTTCC